CTTCGAGATCAACAAGCTGGATTCCGTAAGGATCGGTTGTGCACAGACCAAATTGCGACACTACGGATCATCGTCGAACAATCAATTGAGTGGAACTCGTCACTATACATCAACTTCATTGATTATGAAAAGGCATTTGACAGTGTGGGTAGGAGAACGTTATGGAAACATCCTCGACACTACGGAGTTTCTGAGAAGATTGTCAATATTATCCGGAACTCATACGACGGACTGCTATGCAAAGTCGTGCATGGAGGACAGCTGACAGATGCATTTCCAGTAAGGACCGGAGTCAGACAAGGCTGTTTACTCTCCCCCTTCCTCTTTCTTCTGGTGGTTGACTGGATTATGAAGACCTCGACATCTGAGGGAAAACACGGAATACAATGGACAGCTCAGAATCAATTAGACGATTTGGACTTCGCAGATGACCTGGCCCTCCAATCGCATACACATGAAAAAATGCAGATAAAGACAGCCAGTGTAGCAGCAGTCTCTGCATCAATAGGCCTCAACATACACAAGGGGAAAACCAAGGTCCTCAAATACAACACGAAGAACAGCAATCCAATCACACTTGATGGCGAAACTCTGGAAGATGTAGAATCTTTCATATACCTGGGAAGCATAATCGATGAACAAGGAGGTTCAGATGCAGACGTAAAGGCAAGAATTGGCAAAGCAAGGGTCGCATTCCTACAATTAAAGAACATATGGAACTCAAAACAAATGTTAACCACCATAAAAGTCACAATCTTCAATATCAACGTCAAGGCAGTTCTACTGTACGGAGCTGAAACTTGGAGAACTACAACAACCACCATCAAGAAGGTACAAGTATTTATAAATAGCTGTCTACGCAAGATACTCAACATCCATTGGTCGGATACCATCAGCAACAGCCTTTTGTGGGAGATAAAAAACCAGCTTCGAGCTGGAGAAGAAATTAGGAAAAGACAATGTAGATGGATAGGACATACATTACACAAATCGTCAAACTGCCTCACGAGGCAAGCCCTAACTTGGAATCCTGAAGGGAAACGGAAAAGAGGAAGACCAAAGAACACATTACGTCGGGAAATAGAAGCAGATATGAAAAACAACTGGAAGGAGTTGGAAAGGATTGCTCAAGACAGGGTTGGATGCAGAATGCTGGTGAGCGGCCTATGCTCCTTCACGAGGAGTAACAGATGCGATCTGATTTATGAACGAACAGTTAACAAGGTGAAAATATGACACAAGTAGAATGGATAGATTGGCTTGTCCGAAAGCTAGAATAAGGTATATGGGCTTAACATAATGACCGACACTACAAAGGACTTGTAATTTCTTTAGACTTGTTCAAGGCAGGGTAAATGAGCACAGCAGAATTAACTGTTAACTAGTATCCAAAATACCCTCAGCTTGGCAATTCAGTGAGTATTACTCTCTATCAATTTAATTCCCATATTCACTCGCCCGCCTGAAATATAGGTACCATGAATACACTAGTATTTGACCTTATATCTCTATATTGCATTAAGTTGGATTATCACTAGAATGTATGTGTAACCCCAAATGCCAAGGATGGGGGGGAGTCACCTCTCCTCAAAATGTTCTCACATGGCCACGCGTATACAACTACTGCTAGAGAAGTCCTACCCATTACCTTCTCGCAGTGTGGGTGTTGTTTATGAAATTGAGAGGACGAAAAGCAAATGTTCGGAGCTTTATTCGGTTCGGTGGATATGGAGGATCCATCTAGGGGAGTTGAAAAACCCTGATTCCAAACCGATGGTGCACATTAGCTCCACGATCCTGAAAGAACAAATGGCGTATGAACCTACTGTTGTTCACCGGCTACCATTGGACTTCATCTCCTGATGTTGCTTGTGGATTAGACCTGTGGGTCAAAGGCTCGGGATGTGGCTCCCTAAGAAAACTACCTCTTTCATTTTGGGCGCGCGGGTAGTATTTTAGCCCTCACATATCGAATCATTTGTGTGGCGCATATGTTTCCGGTGCCCCCTTGTACCAATATTTATGTATTAAAATAAATAAAAGCCAAAAACCGGTACTAAAAGCCCAAATTCTTAAATTCAATTCCGAAAAAATATATAAAGTAACGAAAATATAAGGCAAAGGAATATGTGTACCCTTTACATCACTTCCAGCTATTACGTGAAATTATAGCCGACTTCATGTCTATACGGTAACTTTATGTAATAGATTACGTAGGGTCTGGAAAGGTACTTCATAGAACCTCATATGATAAAAATAAATATTATTTTGATTATCAAACCCTTAAACATCATTAAAAACTGAGTAAAAACTATGCCATGTTAGACGTACTTTATTGATGTATTTCTAAATAAAAGTTCAACATCAAATTCCCAACGTGGCTGTATACTAGTTTAGTGGTGGATTTATCTGAAGATCGTTTCACCAACCTTAAAATCTTGACGCGAAATCTAAGTATTGATATTCAAATCATAATACCCGAAACGTTCGAACAAATATATACTGATAAAATGTAGAAAAGCTGTGAGTATTGAAATTCAAAACATTCATTTGACCTATTTTAAGGAAATAAAATTATTGACATATGAAAGTATAAACATATCTCGTGGCTGTCAAGTGCACTGAATTTATGATGGTCGATTTTTACTAATTAGAGTAAGTCAGGCAGTTACTATGACACCTTGGCAACAGCAAACATTTATCTAGTTCTCAAAGTTGGCTTCCACCATCTTTAATGTTGCTAAGTAATAGAGAAACAATGGAATCTCACACCTTTTTCCTGTCACTTCTTTCTTGTTGGATTCCCTTTTGTATGTTACATTATGTTACTTACTAATATTCAGTAGCTAATATCATAATCAGTCATTTTTAGGCAATAGCGTCCAGCAACATTCAGTAGTTGTATGGTATTTACACAGATACGTGTTACGTAATTCATTATGACAACCATATCCGCTTAAGATCATTGAAAGTTGCTTTTACCTTAGTATATTCATTGAACATTTGTTTATCTATAACAGTTTTCGTTTAACACCAGGATTTATACTTTCTACCTCAGTAGTTTAGAACCGATCAACTGAGTATTCCGTTAATAAACACCTGTAATTGTCCTAAACCAATTTTAAAGTCATTAATTATCACCTAGTTCGTGAGTTTACTTTAGTCAGTAAAGTGAATGTAGGTTTAATAGAACGGGAAAACCCATAAGTTAGTGTACAAGTTGAAATCCAATCAAATGTAACAGCTCCGATGGATAGATGAAAAACGTTTATTAGTAACATGTCTTAATGTTCAAAACTTGTGTAATGTGAGTTACTAGTTTGCTATAGATAACTTAAGGTGTTGGGTCCATGAATGTAATATTGGGAAATTATTAAATTCAATACATCAAGCACAACGATAATCTAACCATTCGTTTAAGTCATGATTGAATATAATATTTAATAACCTTTATGTTCGAATTTTAAAAAAAACAGGTGAGCATCAATGAAGTAGATTTTGGAAATAATTCCAGTATTGAACGATTTTCAAAGTATATACAAACAATGTTTGTTCATACTAGTTAAGACCGGAGTGGAAAGTAAATTATATTGTTGTCAAGCCAAATAATATTTTTTTTGTTTTAGTAATTAAAGATTAGTGAACATCCCATCAGAGATTTATCGTGGAGTTTTTCCAAATAACAGGTACCTCATTTACAAAAAAATTATTTAAGGTTAGCAGATGACCAATCGTCAAAACAGTAGCTCTTAATTTGTATATAAAATAATCCACATTCCCAAGACAGATCAGCAAAAAAACTAGACTAACGTATCTACAGTTGTAAACTGGCTGTTAAGAATAGTCGACAAAAAATTCATACTAATTGTGATTCGTTAGCAAGATGTACCTGTAATCTTGATACTGATATTCCCCGGAGGATCCAAGCCCGTGTCACCCAGCTTCACAGTCAGAGACTTGACATACAGGAAACTGGTCACTACTCAGTGATCAACTGTTGGGATATTCAAGAAAATATCCCAAAAATTATCCTGTTAAGCCTAATGCTATCCTTGGACACGAAATGGTATCATCTTATTGGTCAATATTTGTTTAACGTGTCATTTTCCTACTGGCCATTATTGTACAATGTTATCTTCTATTTTATGGTACGTTGTGGTCTGCTTGACTGGTATATAAACAGTGTGTTTGAAATATAATGATTCATATATCCGAGGCTGTGACTTGCGTTCTGGACTCAGCTGGCTGGGTTAGACAGGGAAGCGGGACCAATCAGAACCCTAGGTCCTTCTACATGTTGCGCATCTTTGGTCCGATCAATAATTCGCTACCCTCTAATCTGCCGTCACAGTTATAACATCAACTAACTGCAAGCGTCCACAGTTTGATTTCCAAAGAGGCGAACCGATAAACGCACAGAGTAAACCGAAGCATCGAGTACGAAATGATCTTGTCTAACTGATATGTATATACAAAGACAGGTATAATTATCTTTACTTGGAGTTTCTAATTTTTCTCAAATTATTCATTCGATTACATGATTCATACAAAAGTTCTTGACAAACCTGAAAAATAAACTGATCTCAACTCATACAGATATAAGTTGTAAAATGTTTGCGAACCAATCATAAAAAGCCAAAAAACTTCCAACCTAAAAAGGAACTATGACCCGATTTGGGTTCAGTTATATGGTAAAGGTTTAGACAGAACTACTAGAAGCACAACCTTCAGGGAAGCGCTTATCTTACCCAATAGACAGTAAACACTGAATAATAATATTAAACTAGGACACTAACATATAACAAGGACGATTAGCGACCTTTGGTGGAATCCTCAACAAACTATGGTCATATAAAAATCAAAGTTCAAGCACTGAAGTCAGAAATATTGAAGAGGAAAGATAGTTTCGGAATAACTAAGCACACAACTGTTCAGTCATCTTGCTCTTCCTCTACCCTTGGAATTCACATAACATACATTGCTTTAAACTGAAGAGAAATCACTTGCATCTACAAAATATATTTTGAAGGTAAAAAACACTATTAGTTAAAAGTCTAATAAAATGACATGAAAAGTATGTTAGCTTTTACTAAAGTCCATATAAAAATGAATATGAAAAGTAACTATTATAATACTACTGAAGAATTAGTCAAACCAATCCAACTATTTCGAAGCCAATTAGTTAATTGTTGTAAACAATTCAAAACATTTGAAAGCTCCAGTTTGAAATCGTGCAGTTCTGTTGAATTTGAAGTTTTTGTCTTACATTTATCATATAAGATTTTAAGATTTTTAAATGATGATTTTACATGAGGAAAATAAACTGATTTATAACCAGTAGTTCCTTGGATGACATTTTTCAAAGATGATTTTTCACATTGACCAGCAGCAACAAAATGTTTAGAAACACCAACAAGTATACGATTGAGATAGGAGGGAAAACTAAAATTCAAGATAAAAATAACGAAAACAATTGTACTGTTTATTAGAAATGGTGCATTAACTTTATTCAATGGATTGTTTATCACATTATATGGTAAAATCTAACTATTAACCACAATCATTGATGCGACTATTCTTCGTATGATCTTATAATAATAAAAGCACCCCGTTATAATGAAACTGTAGTGAGCGGCTAAAAGAAATAACACATAGTGTATAGACTAATTCAGACAGATACTAAAATCCTACGACCTGAAAGATCCGATTTTTCAAAGGTAAAATTAAATGACACAGTTCTTCATAAGGTAAGCAAAATCACAGTTATTTGTTTTTGCGTCGTATAAAACCAATAAAAGCCGCTTTGTAGTCAATTTGACCGTTCTTCGGTTACTCACCAACCATAAAGTCGCTAACAAATATGTTTCGATCCAATTCTTCAAATATAAAAACAACATAGAGAAAGAAGGGCACGGATAATAAAACTAAAAATCAGGATTAGTTCAAAAGAAAACTATCACAGACATCAAATTCAATACAATGTTGACAAGAAGATAGTGGATGCAACTCCAGTACTGAGACTCATTTCTCCAAATCTCTAAAAAATCAATTAATTAAATCATCTACCGAAACTCGAGAAAATTCCCACACTTCTTGACAATGATGAGATTAACAGTCACTGTTGTCATAGACTTGTACAGCTTTAAAATGATCAGTCCCTTTTTTTCAACTAATTACCACATTTGTGTTAGTCAACGCAGCTATTCTGAATGAGCGGTGTGTCACACATGTCTCAACGACATTAGTTGGAAATTATTGATTTAACCAATTGACTTGCCACTGCTAAACAGTATACAAGTTACAGTTTCTTGACTGAAATGCTTTATTATTGCAAACATGAACAGTTCTTAGAAGGAAATATGAAAACTAAGCAGTAACAGGGATATAAAAATCGGGAGACAATTTTTCTAAACATTTTATCGATTCCTAAACCTACATAGTGCAATTTCTTTCCATAGTATTTGCAAAATCTTCAAAATCTTGAGATGACTTCTTAAACTTCTGGATTTCTTCCAAAACCCAATCTAAGAAAAGAAAAGGAACATGACAAAATCACTTTCATTTAAACAGAAAGAAATTTAGCTAGAAAATCGTTTTCTCTCAAATGGCTTTCCATAAAAGTTTAAAATATTCGGCAAATTATGTAAATTTATACCAATATTTGTCAATATTAGAACGAATAATTTGACAGAAAATGGGCGTCGAGTATAAAGACATTGTCTGTAAAAATTATATTCGAAACAATCTCAGCGATTGAAATTTAAATAATTCCAACGTTTCGTCCAGCAAACGTGTCTGAACTCCTTTAAGGTAATAATCAAAATCAGAATTATCAAAGAATGTATCATGTTCAATAATCAAATCAGATCTATGTTGTGCTTATCCAGTCATATTCAGATGGTGGCTTTAGTAAGCAGGATAACATGAGCCAGTTATATGCGAATCATCTGAAAAGTCCACGATGTGAAGGTAAATGAATGAATGATTGTGTGTGTATGTGTAAAGCTATCTGAACTTCTTCAGAAAGCTAAACGTTCAGACATAGTACTCGTAGCAGGTGACTTTATTGCCCAGATAGGTAGTTTAAACCAAGCAGAAAGGCATTTAGGTGGATATTTTAGTATACCGGCACAGCGAACAGATAATGGTGATCGTCTGCTGCAACTGTGCTCAGACAATCGTTTATTTTTAGCAAACACAAATTTTAGGCATAAGGAGAGATATCGTCTAACATGGTGACCCCCTACACCAAACCAACGATGGACTCAAATAGACCATATTGCCATCAGTTATCGTTGGAGAGGGTCGGTAGAAGATTGTCGCTCATTCTGGAGTACCTGCTTGGACTCCGACCACGCCCTAATACGGGCACGCATCTGCTTGCGCTTCACTGGACGCAGGAAAGCCACAGTAAAAAGACCCATTAGAACTTAATTGAGTAACGAGAAAACCAAAAGTAGGTTCCAGGAACAACTGAGGTCACACTTAGGTAGTTCTGAAAACGAGGTTGACTCAGGTGTTGCTTGGAAAGCTATACAAACAGCTGTGGAAACAGCAGTGACATCTATCAGTGATTTAAACCACAGGATTACAAAGAACCAATGGATTTCCTCTAGGTCTATTGCACTGATGGATTCTCGTAAACTCATCCCATCAGGCTCTGAACACGATGAAGAGTGACAACAAATCAGATCTAGGTTAACCAAAAGTTCAAGGAACGGCCGTGAGCAGTGGTGGGCAACGAAAGCAAAAGAGATGGAAAAGGCGGCGGCTATAGGGAACACAAGACAGCTTTACAGACCAATAAAAGAAACTGGAATTAACAAGTCAAGTGTAAGTCAGACTATTTCGGAAAAAGACGACACCCTCATCTGCTATCAGTCCAGACGTTTAGAATGATGGGCGGAACATTTCAGAGAACAGTTCAGCTGGCCTTCAGCTACTCTACAACTACCCTCCATTCCCAGACAGTGTGAATGAAACATTGAAGTAGGTCCCCCAACTCTAGCAGAAGTTCAAAAGGCTATAGTTAATCTGAAACGAGGAAGGGCAGCTGCTCCAGATGGATTGGCTCCAGAGGTCTTTAAGGATGGTGGTCCAATTTTAGCGATTAGGTTGACTAATATTTTAGCTAAGATCTGGGAGTTAGACGTTATTCCATCTGACTGGTCACAATCACTTATCGTCTCAATATATAAGAAAGGGTCAAAATCATCCTGTGACAACCACAGAGGGATTAGTTTAACTAATACAGTATCTAAAATACTAGCCTCGATAATTATCAGACGCCTAACTAAGACTCGTGAACTGCAAACACGAGAGAATCGAGCTGGCTTCAGACCTGGTCGTGGCTGCATCGACCACATATTCACCATTCGTCAGGTTCTAGAACACAGGCATACTTACCGGTGTTCGACAATGGTGATCTTTCTCGACTTAAAAGCAGCATTTGACGCGGTAGACCGCGAGACTCTGTGGCAGTGTCTGTCATTGAAAGGCGCACCTCAGAAGTACATAAACCTTGTGAAGGCTCTTTACTCGAACACTACCAGTCGAGTCAGAGCTTATGGCGAACTGTCATCTGATTTTGCAACCTCAAGTGGTGTCCGTCAGGGCTGTCCACTTTCCCCATTTTTGTTTAACTTCATCATAGATCTACTGATGGAAATAACATTCTCGTCTACTGAATTCTCTGGTATTGATCTCCTTCCAGGATGTCCACTTATCGACTTAGAATACGCAGATGACATAGTCCTGTTTGGTGAAGACGCTGACAAAATGCAGAGCCTTTTGGTAGCACTGAGCAACAATGTCAGAATGTTTGGAATGCGCTTCTCTTCCTCTAAATGCAAGTTGTTGTTTCAGGACTGGTCTCCGTCAACACCTGAACCAAGGATAGGGAGTGAAGTAGTCGAACGCTTTGACAACTTCACTTATCTTGGAAGTCTGATCAGCCCAAATGGGTTGGTGTCTGACGAAATCTCAGCACGAATTCGAAAAGCTCGCTTGGCTTTTGCCAACTTACGTCACCTATGGCGAAGGTGAGATATCCGTCTATCAATAAAAGGATGAGTATACTGCGCGGCAGTTCGTTCTGTTCTACTTTACGACAGCGAAACATGGCCATTAAGAATAGAAGACACTCGTAAGCTACTAGTATTTGACCACAGATGCCTTAGAAATATTGCTGGAGTCTGCTGGGATCACCGGGTAAGTAATAGTGAGGTTAGACGCAGAATATTAGGGAATGATGGTAAATCATTTGATGAGGTTGTGAATCTTTATCGACTGAGATGGTTGAGCCACGTGTTTCGTATGCCTGAACACCGATTACCACGACGTGCAATGCTAACCGGTGTTCGGGATGGTTGGAAAGAAGTTAGGGGCGGCCAAACCAAAATGTGGCATCAGTGCTTGAAGTCACTAACTTCTAGTCTGAGCCATGTTAGCAGATGCAGACTACTTGGTTGATGTCTGCGTGACTATCGTAACCAATGGTTGGAGACTCTTGGTGACATGGTTCAGAATGGATCACAATGGCGTCGGTGTATACACTCTCTAGCTTTCCTTAAACTAGGAGATTAAAGTTGCTTCATATCTTTCTTTCTACGAACTAATTCTTTCTTCCTGTACTATATCCTTTTTACAATCTTTCCTTTATATTTTACGACCTCTGAATTAACTACTTTTATGAATGCGGTGTCCATCTTGTTGTGTTAATGAGGTATGGCAACTTGGACCGATGCATATATGTGCCTAGTCCTACGTTGTACCTGACTGACTGACTGTTTGTGTAAGTTCGAGTTATTAGTAGTTGATATTAGGTGTTAATTTGCTTTTATATGAAGCAAAAATAAAGGTGCAACTTGAAAGTTGAAACTGCTTCTGAACCGTCGATACGCAAATAAAATGAAAACCATCAAATACATAATTGTAATGCTAAAAGATCCCAATTAATTTCCGTCAGAATAATGGTGCATATGAAATAAACAGGTTGGATAGAGATAGGAACCAATTACTTTTGACAATTTATGTAAAGCTGCAATTCCAAAGAAAAAACACTATAACACCGAACCAACAAGATTTAGGATAGCGGCTCGATCGTTTTTTTAAGGAATTCAAAACGCGATGACGGACAACTTGTACTTAATGGAATGCTGAGTAAAACCAACCAATAGGAAGTTACTATGAAAAATAAAATTGATGAACATGACAGGACGAAATTAAGCAGTTTTTAAGATGACGAGTGAATAATTTTTCATAGAAGAATGGTAGGAAACAAATAGAGTTGAAATGAGTATAACCATCATGGATGAATTCTTAAAGTAACTAAAAGCTTCTCCACATTTTAATCAAAAAACTATGTACATAACTATTTGTCAATGTAAATAAGTGTTACTTAAACCCTGTCTTAAGTCCTAACCCTTACCTTACAATGGTTTATAATAATAAACAGTTCACCAACCATGTTAAAACTGTTGGTCCTTCCTAAAGATTTTGCTGTTATAATGTGAATTCTGTTGAATCTAAATGCTATTTCTTGATTGGCCAAAAAATCATCCAAAGTCGGCGTTATACTTTAGCAACGATTGGTTATGAATCATTAGGACTAGAAGACAATCAACTAAGCGAATACATATAACGGTTACTGAAAAACGCAGTCATATGGAATAGTAACAGCTCGTAACCCAGTCTTCTAAATAATACTGGTTAATAACTAACGTAAAGATCTGACGCTTTAGGAAAATGAGAATATTAAGCGGAACATGGTTGATTTAGAGTAGGTTTCCAGGTATAAAAATAATCAATGTGAAAAAGCCAACTAAATGAGAGTAGATTCGGTTTATTCAATCGGGAATAGAAATTTTGGAAGCAAACAATTTTCACATTATTCGCCGATGATAAGTAAGCTGGACTGAATCCACCAAAAGATGAAATACACCTTATGTAAAAACATTTGAAAAAATAGTTATGGCTAATTACAAAAAGAAAGAACTATTGAAGAAAATCAACAACTTCCAAGGGTTAGGACGATAAATTATTCGGTATATGCGAACAAATATTAAAAATTTACCTAGATTCACATCATATTCTGAAATATTAGGTATTTGATGCGTTACTAACTCCATAAATTTCAACCAATCATCCAATAAACGTTGTGAACATCTCAATATCGAAAGTGGCAGACGTGGAGCACATGCAAACTGTATAATAAGCGTTAATATTAAACGCGCAATTAATCTATGTCGAGGGAAGTGACCTGTAAATGGTGAAGCAGGATCAGTAAATCTTTCTACAAAATCAATAATATCATAAGCAGTGTGGTAAACTGGTGTATTGTATAAGCCATCGTCCTATAACAAAAAGAAAGAAACGTTAATGGAATAAAATAAATCATACACTTGTTAAACTATAATTACAGAAAACGCTTAGCTTACAACTAATTACTTTGCATCTTGATTCTATCAATCAAATCAAGATAAAACATTATATCAATCAAAGTGAACTAAGCCATACATTTTGTTCACTTGAAAAACAAATCTCTTTATTAAGCTCTATAGAAATGATGAACGTTTTAGAGAACCGACAAATATACTCATTCCGAATATCTTATTAACCCAGAATAAATTAACGCCATTGTCCTACGCTGATTAAATCAAATAAACTTCTAATAGAAAAGATGAAGGAATGTTTCGACCCTCAGACTATAATTTTCCGCCTAATATAAACGAGATGAGGATGCAAGGGACATTAATCTTTTTGAGTTGGCCACGATAACAATTATTAGTGTGACCTTTGTAACATAGCTGCCCAACATAACTACTTACCATAACTTATGAAATTATATGCTGTGGTCTTTACTTAGTTTATCTTTTTGTGAATCGTGAAAGTTTTTTGCAAGGTTTCATCTTCTCTTACCCTATTTTTATGCAGCTGTCAAGATTGAAGTGTCGCATTTTTTAATTATAAATATACTGACTATTAATAAGTAATACGGTATAACACAAACAAAAAGCAAACAAAGGAAAAAAGTTGAAAATTTCTACCAACAAATTACTAGGACGATTATATTGAAAAGTTGCAAATACTAAGTAACCTATAATTAACGTGAAAATCAAAAGGGTAGATTATTCTAAATAACTATTCTTCAAATAGTACAATTGGTCGATTAATTGATATTCAATACAAAAACGTCACACTATTAAAGATTTCCCTTTACAGTGTGATCTTGGGTAAGATAACGAGTGAATGCAACTGTGCCACGGCGACTGCATTTAAGCCATGTCACCCAACGTTCCATAACCACTAAACACGGTTATTGATCGGACTCAAACCAGGTCATCTGTTTCTAACAAAATTGCTCATACCAACAGCCAATAACCTCGTGGACTAATGCCACATCATGACTAGGCCGCTCCTAGCTTTCTTCCAAACTGCTTCTACAACAACAGACATTGTCCGTCAAGGTAGGCGGAGTTTAGGCATACGTAACACATGTTCTGAACACTTCAATCGATGAAGACTTACAACCTCACTAATTGATGTGCCACTTTCGTCTAGTATACTATGTTTACCGATGACATTGGTCACAAGGTTATTCAATGATCCTTGAGGAATGTTACGAAGACATAATCATATGTGATATATAACCAATAATTTATTACAACACAATTCATTGAACTACGTTAAAGTTTGTCATCAAGGTTTCAAATCTAATGGCTTTATAGATCAGTACAAAAATAGCGTTTTAATGTCAAACAGTAAACAAACTTACTGGTAGAAACTCTGGATATGTTGATGGAATCCCTAAACGATAGGCAAAAGGTATATGATCCGACCCACCACCAAGAGATGTGATTCTAGAAGAACACTGACCAAAATAAATAGTTAGGAGTGTATTTTCAGAATTATAACATCATTTGCATTATAAGTAATATAACTGTGCAAAATAATAACAGGAGTAGGAAATATATTATCACTAGTCATGAAAGATAAAAAGTTAGAGGTTATAGAACTAAAACATTGCTTATGAAACTAATATAAATAAAATGTTAGAAGGGTAAGAAATTAGCGAAACAGACCATTATTGTTAGTTATGTTCACAAGTGGATGGCTTATATTAGAAGAGAATAACTAGTAAAGAAGTTAAATAAAATTTAGCCAAACCATAAAGTAAACGATCGCCACTGTAACAATGTGACAAAGTTCACGCTTTTCCATGGTTGAGAAACCTTAGTGACTTGGCTTCAAATCGTTTACAGTAGTCTCGACCATTTAAAATATGATCATTCAGCAAGTTTAGAACTGCCACACTACTATATACGTAAATTCTTCTTACATAATTACAGTCAGCTTTTATTAAATATTATTCCAATTTTTTCCGTCTATCATGTGAAACTGAAATTACTGTCATTGCCCAAGCTCTTGTATTGATCAATCAATAAGATTTTATAGCTGAGCTTATTGTAACTAAACCTTTTTATTCCATGAAGTGTCGAAAAAAATCGCATTTATATTGTAGTGAACAGAACACGGGTGGGGACAGTCGAATGCATTTAACACAAAATTACACGACTTGTTAATAAAATCTAACAATCATAAAGTAAATGCTTAATTTGCAAAATGTCCGTCGATTGTCTCAAAATGACTCAGACTTCAATGTTCATGCATTTTTATACAAATTCTATTTTGTTTCCATTCTTTACTGTTCGATCCTCTTGTCTCTTTGCTTCCAGACCTTCTGTTTACGACTAACATCACATACTACTTATGTCAATATAAGTAGCACATACCACAATAACACGAAACGATCTCACACGTGAATGTGTAACATCAACAGTGATAATGAGACACTCGCTTTACCCATCCTTGGCATAGAAGTTCTAGAATGAACTCAGAATCCAATTTTCGAACCTCGAACCACGTTCGTAGATGACGTTATTTTATAACACCATCTAAGTCAAGAAATAACTTCTATTCCCTAATTGATATATGAAAGTACCAAGCGAAGAACCTCATACGTGAATTTGCTATTTGTTATCATACAATTTTATTTGGTACGATATTAATTTTATATTTTCCAGTGTAACATTACTTCAGGTCAATATGTTTGTACCAATAAAGTGAGAATTTCGTTCAGTATGACAGGTGTGAACTTCCGACTAGCATGACAATCATATTTTTAGTAATATTTTATGTATATGTTTTACAGTAAGTCTGTTTATCCTTTAACCCATATGGTGTTTATTGACCAATAAACTATGTAGAATTAGTACATAAATGAGTGTAGCTGGTTAAATGATGTTTATTTAGAGAATCAATAAGGTCACCATTTGCGCCAGCATGCTGTTTTTACTTAGAGCGACGTGGGGATCGCAATCGTTCCCGTCTCCAAATATAAACAGCAGAATAATGGATGCAACAGATTTGACATACACACAACATAACAAAATAGTAACAATGACTATTCAATCGACAGAATACTCTGAAGCCGTTATCAAACACACATAGGATAGAACTTTCTTGTGCCTGAATTACTTTCTACATACAATGAAATTAAAAGAATTTGTTTATTACTTCTCATGTTAAAAAATACCATTGAAACAGAGAAATCTATCCAAACTTACACAGGTTCATTACGATCACTAATCTTATTATTTAACCATTCGTCATAGAATGATTGCATATTTATTGGTGGATCAACTGGAACTAATTTTGCAGCATTTATAAGACTATCAATTAATAAACTATCGGTTCGAGCTGAAAACGTTTTATGACCTTTAACTGGACAATCTGAATTGATGTAAACAACACATCTAGATAATAGTTCATATTCAGATTTATGTACAAAATGTGTTGAACCCAAGACAGAAAATTCCTCTCCATCCCAAGAACCAAGAATTATCGTACGACGAGGTTTGAAACCTTTTTCAAAAACAGCAATACATGATGTTCACTAAATGAAGACATGCATATATATATATATATATATATATATGAATAATCTGTTTCTTAAACTTCATCATATTTTTAGTGTAAAATCTAACGAGAATGAAGTACTGACTTGTAAAATGAACTCTTTTACCCGGAACCATATAAAGTACTGTGGACTGATACGAAATTGTTAGTAATAGAAAGCTGCTTAATAAAAATTGCCCACTGTTACAACTTATAATTGTTGCTGCAATCTACAAAGATATAGACTAATTTGAATCTTGTTGAGGCTAATGTCCTCAATATCTGACTCCAATAAATAATATCCCGTAAACTGAGCATTTAAGGTAGGCTTAATCTCCTAGTAGAATTACAGATTTACTCGAGATTATTGAGAAGCCTGAACACCAGTTGTAGAGATAATTTATTGTTAATGATTAATAAAAATCCGCAAGCGTACAGCAAGTAAGCACACGATGAAACAAAGTGAGTGAGTGTGTATGTGTGTGTTAAAAATCCATATATATTTTTGAGAGTTAATCGGTGTGGTTAAATTATCGATTATCTGCACATTGCAACCAATAGGAGGATAGCTTAAGGGTTAATGTACAGACATGCATTCGATCATACACACCGAAATTAACATAGTGAATTAAGAGTCTGAAATGCACACAGAAATTAATACGATGAATTAAGTGTCTGAGTTACAATGAGTAGACAAGTGATACAGTGGCCAAATGGGCTTGCCACGATCTCATTAGTATACGTCGTAATGCTAAAAATAAGACTACAAGGACTTTCTGATTTAAATGGTGATACAAAGGGTAATCTAGAAAAATTCATTACTCATGTAGAAAGAATAGAAGCCTTGTAATTTCATTCGCTTTATATCATGAATTATTAATACAAATCAATTCTTTAAATTCCCATTGCCTATCAACGAAACTTTACTATTTTGAGGCGACTGGGTGGGACTTTATTGATCAAACATCATCATCTGCTTTAACACAAAGTTTTTGATGATAAACTAACAATGATTAAGAATTTATATGCAAGAATAATTATATATCTACATGCATAATACAACAGAAATAAATAATCTTACCGTCACGATAAGCCTCGCCAAGAATTCGAGCAATTTCTTGTAAAATCACCATACCTGATCCTGGATCACAAGCGCCTTGTACCCACGCATCATGATGATTACCCATAATTACATATTGATCAGATTCAGTTGAAGTAGGTGTCATTTCACCCGGCATTATACCCACTACATTACATAACTTTACTGGGTTTTTAGAAACTTGATTATGTACTACAACTTTCAAACAGCTATAATAAAGAGAAATAAACAAACATTAGTATGTACGTTCACTTTTTTAAGCTTTTTAGTCAAGGTTACAGGATGTAACAATCCTACACTGTTACACTAAATATTATTAGGAATTGTAAAATACAAAGATATAATTCTACCTAAACCTACATTAACATCAATCTATTTCTTAACAAATCAAAAAATCTAAATTGGAAACTTATAATGATCTACAAGTTAATTATATATATATATATATATATATATATATATATATATATATATATATATATATATATATATATATATATATATATATAATCTTACTGAAAATACCCAATTAAACGGATTTGTGAAATTTAGAGAACAATGTAAGGTCGTCTGACAATCGGTAAGCTGAAGAATTGAAAACAATCTCAATTTTTATAAACGAATGCCTAATTTGGAAAATTTACAATCAGCTAACATTAGGTGACCTAGGCCTGCATAAACAAGAAGCTTAAAGTAATCAAATGAATACATTGAATAGGTAGACGAACATAATTGACAGTCATTTAGATCTGAATATGAATTTACCGGTTGGGGCCATAAAAATAATAATTCTGGACTTTGGGTAGGACACCTTAAAGTCTGACAGTGAGGCAGATTAATTCGAAATCTATCTCCCACCAAATTACAAACATCCTATGATCTTCATAAACCAGCTACATCAACTTCTTTTTTCTTATCTTAGCTTTGTAATATGATTGGACAAGCTTGAGAAAAAATGAGAATAAGTCATTACCAAGATCATGGATGGACTGCGTGGAGGAAACCAGATAGGATTAAATTCAAACATAGGCATTCACCGCTAGTAGTAATCCTCTAAATCAAACCACGTTCTATAAAGAACCGTAAATTCAAAACGTGGGATGAAGTCTAAAACGGGAAATATAACTTAATAATCCAGAAGAGGTTTGCTTACTCTGAACCATACTTATGATCCGAGCACTCGAGGTACTAACTAGATGGAAAACAGGGAGAAGTTGAGGTCGGATGTAAAAACGAGAACTGATAGCTGAATGATGTGTCTAAATACACGTCAATATTTAGGGTTTTATAAACTAAACTTTCGACCACGGACCTAGCCACAGAAGTAGTACCACTATTACGCACACTGTAGAATAGTTCGTAATTTATTCAGCATATCCGAATATCCTAACCACAAGTTATAATTTACAAGGTACTATTTCATATTCAGTAGTACTGTAAGCCATCAATTAAAATATGTGGAATTACTTTTGGAAAATATCAGTGAGAATGAAATTCTTAGCCATAAAAGTATATGAAAAGAAACAAAATAACATTATATGAATAAAGCATCAACCAAACCTACTCATAGAATTAATAAATTGTTATATGGTTACATTCAACAGTAAGTTAACCGTTTGGATTGTCTTGCTGTTTCTCACAATAGTCAGAAATCATCACTAGCCTTCCTTTCAAATCTAACCACCTATCATTCCATCAAAGTGTTATCACTGAGTTAACTGATACTCTGAGGGACTGAGTATTTGAACAGAGTGAGATAATCAACCACAAGAATAGTAACAAAATCATCACCATGCCTCTAACTGATACAGCATAACATACGCATGAACTACTTGCTTTATAAAGAATACCTTTGAAAGCCAGTTGACAAACATAGAATTACTTATATAACCTTACGTTTTAGTTGATGGTCCCAAATGAGTCGCCAAACGAGTATCCCAATCATTAGGGATAGTTGGTCCCTCTAAGCTCGATAGAAATATTTTGGCATCATCATAGCCAATAGGTTGAACAGGAATCTGTGTAAGGGCATCACCTTGTACAAGTGTATCAGTTCGATAAATATGGGCTGGAATCAAAAAGACAACATAAAACTAAGGTATGTTTTAAAAGTTCAAAATAGAAATTACGGCACACAGTCAAGTAACTTAATAAAATGAAAAGATTTTCAAACGTTTAACTAGTTTTATCAACTGAAATGTCAGTAAATAAATTAATCTTTTGATAAAACCTCAGGCCGTTATAATTCACCAATAAATTTAATATATATTGAAGAGCTAAAAAAACACAAGAGAATCAAAATTATACGCATAAATTGTATGGGTTGTTCAGTTGGGTGACATTGAAAGTAGTGAAAATGTATTCGCTCTTTATCTTCCCTTAGATTCTTAATTTCATCTCATGTATTTTGATTTCACGAATTCATCCTTTCCTCGTAAATCATACCGCTAATAGCTTTTTGGTACTTTTTTACTATTATCGACGTTACTAATTATGACTACTCTGAAATTTATCTGGATAATTTCATACATTTGTGACAATGTGTTGTGGAAATTCGAACCGACGTACATTTATTCCAGGTTCTGTGTTGTATATGACTGACTGATATACATATTAGATTTTCATGAAAATTCTAATGCCTTTATTATTCGAAAATTCATCGAATATCACCAAAGACCCATATTTGAAAATATTCCCTAGATAATTCATAGAAGCAACAGATGACAGAACAGCAACTTTCTGTATTGATATATCCACATCAACTTGATTCTGGTCAGAAAATGATAAACTAAGATTGTTCTGAAGAAATCCCTCAGTCGGTGGGTAAATATCTGAAATGCAAACAAATCCTAAACATTCGAAAATACCAACTCACGAAGTGATGGAAATCCAGCGCAGGTCGGATCACCACCGCCAGCATATTTCATATTCATATGACCAAATACAGGAGCATCCCCTGGTAACCCTTTCCCACTAGGATAAACTAGATCATTTACAGCAAAATCTTGTGGATCAGGATACAGAATAAGAGCGCCAGGATGGTGGTCAGGAAGTGAAGTATTGTTTTGACCACAAGTGCAATGTTCCATTAAATTTTTTAACTTGGATTGTCGAGTTCCGTTGCCCAGTCTGGCAATTACAATGACATTCTTGTTGCATATATGACTAGGTTCACCCTTCTTTCGGCCTTGCAATTTATCAAACAACAACAAATCCTTACGTCTTGCATAGTTCACAAATACAAAATATCCAAACGACTCACCAGAGCATGAATAAGCCTGATAAACAGGTAATTGGTTACTGCAGGAGTTGTCAACAGTTACATTTTGAGAGCATATTTCAGGTTTCGATGGAACAGTAACTATAGATGTAGAAAATTATTTTCCAGAATATTTAGAAAACCAACGTGTTTTATAAAATATTTAAGGAACAGTGAAAAATATTGATAGAAATAGAAACAGGATTATTAGTTTACACTAGTTAAATTCAGTATCCCAACCCAATTAACTAGACTAATCTCAGTCAGTCAGTCAGTAACAACGTAGAACTTCGTACGTACGTACGTACATCAGTTCGGGTTGCCACACCACATTAGCACAGAGATGCAGTTGTCGCGTCAAATCCCGTAGTGGTAGAGGTAGTAAGAGTATAAGCAGTAATCCGAAAGATTAGGGTTTGAAGATGTTATCTAAAGAGTAAAATCCAGTGAAATAAATTTGGAAAGAAAATAAAGGACATGAAGAATTCAGAAGGTTAGAATTTGGGAGAACACTAAGAATGGATGCACCTGCGCCATTGCAAACGATTTTGATCCATGTCATTCAGGGTCTCTAATCATCGGTTGCTATCATCTCGCGGATCCCAACCAGGTAGTCTACACCTACCAACATGACGCAGTTAACTTGTCAGTGACTTCATGGATTTGTGTCATGTTTTGGTTTGGCCGCCCCCACCTTTCTTCCAACCTTCTCCTACACCATGAAACATCGCACGTCGAGGCACTCGGTCATTGGGCATACATAACACGTCCCAGCCATCTCAACTGATAAAGTTTCACTACGTCATCAATTGATTTGCCATCCTTACCTAGTACCCGTTTCCTAACAACTGTGTTACTTACTCGGTGGTTCCAGGATATACGAGCAGTGTTTCGAAGACATCTATGATCAAATACTAGTAACCTACGAATATCCTCTACTCTTACCGGCCATGTTTCACTGCCATAAAGTAGGACGGAACGAACTGCTGCGCAGTAAACACGTCCTTTGGTTGGTAGACGGATATCTCGCCTACGCCATAAATGACGCAAGTTAGCAAAAGCTAGTCGAGCCTTCTGTATCCGTGCTGAGATTTCGTCACACACCAGACCACAAGGGCTGATGAGGCTTCCAAGATAAGTGAAGGGGTCGACAAACTCAACTACTTCACTCCCTATCACTAGTTCGGGTGTCGATGTAACCCAATCCTGAAGCAACATTTTACACTTCGAGGGGAAGAATCGCATCTCGAACATGCCTGCATTGTTGCCTAGAGTGGTCAGAAGACTGCATTTCGTCAGCGTCTTCACTAAATAGGACTATGTCATCGGCATATTATAAGTCAACAAGTGAACCTCCTGGTAGAAGTTCAACCCCTGTAAATTTAGATGAGGAGAGTGTTATCTCTAAAAGTACGTCGACCACAAAGTTGAACAAGAATGGGGAGAGTGGACAGCCCTGACGGACACCACTTGAGGTAATCAATTCTGATGACAGTTCTCCATAAGCTCTCACTCTACCAGTTGTGTTCGAGTAGAGAGCCTTTACAAGGTAGTGTACTTCTTTGGTACTCCTTTCAGCGACAAACACTGCCATAAAACCTTACGATCAACAGAGTTGAATGCCGCCTTAAGGTCGAGAAATACTACCATTGTGGGGCGTCTGAATGTGTGTCTGTGTTCTAGAACCTGACGTAGTGTGAATATCTGGTCTATACAACCACGTCCAGGTCGAAAACCAGCTTGGTTTTCTCTAGTCTGCTCTTCACGAGCTTTGGTTAGGCGTCGAAGTATTATTGAGGCTAATATTTTAGACACTATATTAGTCAAACTGATTTCTCTGTGATTGTCACAAGAGGACTTTTGTCATTTCTTATAGACTGGCACAATCAGTGATTGAGACCAGTCAGATGGGATTACGTCCAGTTCCCAAATTCTAGACTAATAATTTGTTTACGTTCATCAGTTTCAGGAAAAATAGATATTGATGAACAAGGATTACTTAATCACAATCGTGCCCAGTGTAGCACACAGTAATACTCCGGTATTGTACTGAAGGTGATCACAAGTAAGGATATCCGATATAATTTTAATGCAAAATTACAGAATATATTGGTAAAATATGAGAACAATACAGTGAATACTTAATTTGCAAATTTCCATCACTTGTCCCACAAATTCTTTATGATTCTTCCACTTTACAAATCCTTTATATTTTCCCTTTTATTCTATTCAACTCGATCCCCTTAGCCTTCTACTGCCAGATTTTCTATTTGCGGTTGGTGTTACATACTACTTATGTCGACAGACTTAAAAATACAATATGTGGACGGCTTGGTGTATTCATCATAACATTGAATACAGCAAAATGACGTTAAAGTAATCGGGAAATGCAACTTAATTATGAATTCATGTCTAAAATTACAGAACAAAAAGTTAACAAAGTACTTAAAGCATGTACACTTCCCATACTTAACTTTAAATGTCTTCATTTAACAAATAGAGACAAAACCTGGCTTCCCGAATCGCAGTAGAAAAAGCAGAGTTTGAGTCTGCGGTCCAGAAACCGGAATCCTCAAACAACTAAACTACAGCTTTGTCATTTGTATATTACCCTACTAGTATTGTTTTAAACACTATTGTTAACATCTTTTGAGAAAGGTTTTTCTCACATGTTCGCCTGATGAGTATTGGTCACTTTTACATGGTAGTCACGAGTGCTTATTACACTGACGAATGTCTTATACAACCACAAATAACTTTTACTTAAGTACCATTAAGATGAAAACGCTAATCAGATATGATACAAGTTAAAAAGCCAATGGACAATGATTATAGTGGTGTAGGTGACAAGAGATATTATTATTTACTATTATTATTTGATATTATTTTCTTACATAACTGTCGCAGAAAAAACAAGTTAGTTAACATTTACTCAGTATTATATTTAAAAAACGACCCCATTTTTTGCTTACTAAGACCTGTAAACCGTTGTACATTGTGGTCGTATATTTTACATCCTGAATCAAATAATATATAAATCAAAACTATGAGGGACTCATGAACATTCTTTCTGCATTCTGATTGTACGTCTAAACAAGGAACACAATAGTAGTGTATTCAGCAAGTAGAAATAAATTAACGAAGGTAAAATGATTTGTCACTGATAATGTAGCATATAGTACATATTTACAACCGACAACTTGTAACAAAGATAACATTATATTTCAACTTTTGATTCCTGTGATTCATCAAATAGAAATGATTTCACAGGGTTTCTAGAACTTAACTAAGTATTATCGTATAGAACATATATTGTTGAGCTATACATTAGGTAACAGCCCTCTATAAATGGGTGCTACTGAGGAGCCAAATACTAGGATGAGACAGCTGTCCAGTGATACCTGGTTTTAAAGAGTTTTCCAAGTCATGTCGATTAGTAATCTCAATACTGAAATGTTCGACGAACCATCAACAAATAGACAAGATTTAACCATACATCTAAATGCATAACTATTAATTACTCTGGAGTACGGATATATTCTACGAAGTTATGCCTTTTTACGGACATCTCTAATTAAAAATGTTCACTAAAACGATCAAATCATAGATATGAAAATGTAGAAACTCACCGCTATTTTGAGCTCTGTGTATGACTTCGGTGCCATCCGAGTTGGTTAGAAGAACCTCATTCCATGGACCATTCTCAGGAGGGCCCAAAGGAAGAGTAACATAAAATTCTTGTCTGTCGACAATAGGCCAACCCCATTCTTTCCAGCTCCTTTCTATGAAGTCTACAATATTGACAATATTTTAGACAATAAATAAATCGAACTGCAACACCAGAAATAAATATCAATCAATTTACAATCGTGACCTAGAAACCAAGTGCATAATTACGTGAGGGTGACACTAACAGCCTGTTCAAATTAAAGTAGGTGGAGAGAGGTTTAAAGGCAAGTACCGATGACTATGTGACATAATAGTGAGTTAAAAGAAAGCTCTAGGGTACCAAGCAAAGATAGTATCAATCCACGAAATCGTTGACCGTTGATTTATGTCACGTTGGCAAGTGTAGGCTACTAAATCGATTTCCATCCGATAAACATAACATGTAGCTGGAAACCTTGTGATATGACACGATTTATTTAAACATATAAACAATGGTATAAAAGGCATCAAATACATATGCGCCACGCAAATCATCCGATGTGTGAGGGCTAGAATACTACCCGGGCGCCCGAACCGAAACAGGTAGTATTCTTAGGGAGCCACACCCTGAGCCTTTGACCTACGGGAGATGCAGTCCCATGGTAGCCAGTGACCAATAATTGGTTCATACGCCGCTTGTTCCCTCAGGATCTTGGAGTCCAAATGGATCATTGGTTTGGAACCAGGGTTTCTCAACTCCCCTAGGTGGACCCTTCATATCCACCGACCCGAATAAAGCTCCGAACATTTGCTTTTCGTCCTCTCAATTTCGTAAACAACACCCACACTGAGAGAGGTTAGTGGGTGGGGCTTTTCTGGCAGTAGCTGTATACGCGTTGCCATGTAAGAGCATTTCGAGGAGAGGTGATTTCCCCCATCCTCGACCGTAGGGGGGGGGGCACGAAATCAGTCACAGTGGCTCAGATGAACTTTTAGCTAGGAATTGAATCAATAATACAACCTATGAGTAGATAAGAGAAACGAATTTTATGCTCCGATAACAAATGGAAATTACAAATAGTTAGGTGTATAGTTGCAGCTACGATATGCTCCCCATAAGAACCACCCGTAAACTTGTCTCTTTATCTACAGATTTAATTTAAATTGGGACGCATACATGTGTAAGTTCCCCTAACGTACTTCAAACAAACATGAGAATTTCAACAATGTCTAAATACTTATTATAATTTTGTAGCCATATGACATTACTAAATCCAAGTGTCTCATTACACGAAGCGATGAACAAAAATTACTAGTATGAGCCAGCTTAATTAATAAGTGTGAAAACATAGTGGCTTGAAAAAATTTTAAAAATGCAGTAAAATGTATTTACTTGCTATCTCGTAATTTCCTTTGCTGCCAGAACAGTGAGGGTTGCCACCGCATAATTTATGCATGTATTCCAATAAAAAAGTATCCGACACATTTTTACACAAATTTTTTGATATTTCTTGCCACATTATATACGAGGAAAACCCGTGTTCACTTATCTTTTGTTTTATTGGTTCCAAAAGGGTAAAAAAAGAACGATGATTCAATACTTTTATACTCATACGATGGAATATTGGCAAATTAATAAACGCAAACTACTTAATAACCAATATTGCATCCAAACTAAACTAAAATATTGAGCCTAAAATATTTATTTAGGTGAACTGAAAATAGTAAGAACGTACAGGTAAACCACTTATTGTCCGTATGGCTAGCAATATTATTAAACAGGTGATTGATTCACGCTGACAAAATTAGATGACAACAGGATGACTTTGATGTTGTTTGTTACCTACTCTCAAAGTTGGCTGAAATTATACGCCCTCAGACTTAAATAAAATCAGATCGTTTGCTTCTAAAACTCGATAGCCTCCAACCCAAATAAAAAAGGCTCGAATATTTCATCATGATTTATCACTACAACATAAAGCTAAACTGCACATAGGAAAATCAGTACCCAAATCTTATTGTAAATATCTTTACCACACGAACACTTACACTATCCGGCAAAATTAATTAAAAAAATATATAGTAAGACCGTGTTATAGATAGCGCATTGACAAAACCCATATATCTTTTATGAAATTACTGTAAAGTTTAGAGAGGACGAAGGCGGTAATGTAGCGTTGGTCGAATTTATTACCTGTCTTGAAGAATTTATATCTCCGCAAAAGTCTGTGTGGTGAAATTTTGTCAAAGTCTAACAATATGTTCTCAAAGTCCAACTTTACTTAAGATTAATTTATAACCTATTAAACGGCATTTCCCATTCTGCAAATTATTACCAAACACCTTCAATCCACTATATTAAAATGAAAAAATATGACAAAAGTAGGAATAGCTTATTAGAAAGTGTGTACTTTCCCGTTTTGATGTTAAGGACTACGTTTGATTAATTTCTGCTGACATATGTAGATATTAAAAGAACCCCTCGATATTACTAAATGTTAAACCTTTCCGTATATTTTTTGGATATTAGCTAGCATTATAATCCAAAACGTGCTACCTTCTACTTGAGACTGGACAGTAATTGAATCCCAAAGTTGATGTAACAACAACTACCTGGTCAGGGTTCATATATATCAGTCAGGTGTAATCCTGAATATTAACAACCTAATGCTTGTGGGACAATTTAGAAGTTATCAGAACTCAGTTGCATACTTAATGAACTGCTGATGCTTGAAGTGATATGCAACGGGGTCCAGTGTAAACACGAACAGTATCGGAGTCCTGGTACGTCCAAATGTTGAGCACCAAAAAGGAGGACATTTGTTCTGAATCCTAGCGTAAGAAACTAACTAAAAATAAGGCAATATCTACCGACTTAATGTTTACGTTTAACCACAGGCAAGATATTTTACCTTGCAGTCCAAATGCCCTGGTACGGTCGAGGATGGGGGAAATCACCTCTCCTCGAAATGCTCTTACATGGCAACGCGTATACAGCTACTGCCAGAAAAGCCCCACCCACTAACCTCTCTCAGTGTGGGTGTTGTTTACGAAATTGAGAGGACGAAAAGCAAATGTTCGGAGCTTTATTCGGGTCGGTGGATATGAAGGGTCCACCTAGGGGAGTTGAGAAACCCTGGTTCCAAACCAATGATCCATTTGGACTCCAAGATCCTGAGGGAACAAGCGGCGTATGAACCAATTATTGGTCACTGGCTACCATGGGACTGCATCTCCCGTAGGTCAAAGGCTCAGGGTGTGGCTCCCTAAGAATACTACCTGTTTCGGTTCGGGCGCCCGGGTAGTATTCTAGCCCTCACATATCGGATGATTCGCGTGGCGCCTTTCATATTGATATTTATGTTTAAATAGCAATAATAATGCTAATGATGACAGTAATAAAATCAACAGTATCTCACAATAGATGAATTTGCCCAATGTGTCATAAGATTGTGGGGAAATATCGGGGAAAACGAGAAATCTTAGAGAATTTCCCCAGATCTGGGAAGATTTTGTGCCATATCCCCACCTTTGTGCAAAGCGACTTTGCAAAAATAGGGGACACGTAAAATTACTATAATTACACTACTTCTTTAAAGACAATTGGCCGACCCGGGTATTTCTAACATCTACAAGTAGATAGCCTGAAGGTCACTTTCAAATCGTTCTAAATGGAACTGTTCGAATACTATTGGACGAAGCATCTAATACTTTTGTGACAACCTGGCATTGAATGACTGATTTTCTGTAGTTTCATCTTTCACTGTTTCCGGGAAACGGATGATTGAAATACAGAAAAGCCTAATTAGCTCAGCGATGAAATCTCGGACTACAAGGCTGGATGGTGCGTTCAAATGGTTCAAATGGTTGTGGACGGAATAGAAGAAGCTTTCGCTTAACAGGCTTCCGTGTCTAGTAGCAGGGGATCACCAAATCCTCCAGGCAGGAACCTAGGTATGTTAACAATAAAAGAGGAAAAGAAATTGGTAAATCATAGTGTGATGCTGTCCTTGGTCCTTAAGAATAGGTCAAGTTGCCTCTTGAAGGACTCCTGAGAAGTCGCTTGGACTAGCTCGGCCGGCAGCGAGTTCCAGCTTTTGACAACTCTTAAGGAGTAGAAGTTGTGTCTACATTCCGTCTTGCTATGTTGTGTTTCCAGTTTCTGGGTGTTACCCCTTAGGTTATTATTCGAACTAAGCTTAAGTAGGTGTTTAAGAGGATGTCCAGAAGTGTTAAGAATACTATAAGCCATTAATAAATCACCTCTAAGACGCCTATATTCTAGTGGGTAAAGGTCTAGTGAACGGAGGCGTTCTTCGTAAGGCTTAGATTTGAGTCCTCGAACTGATTTCGTGGCTCGCCGTTGGATACGCTCCAAAGTGACCTTGTCCTTTTGGAGTGAGGGGGGAGTACTATGTTTCCGTACTCTAAATGGGGACGGATGAAACTATTGAAGATTGTGTGGAAAGTTCTTCCGTCAAACTGGCCAAAAATGCGCCTCAACGTTACCAGTGCAAGGTTTGCTCGGAAGGCATTTTTGTCACAGTTAGCGTAAGACTTTAAGTCATGGGGCACCAGGACTCCTAAATCTTTTTCGACTTGGGATACTACTAGAGAGGAGTTTCCTAAGTTGTAACTGTAGTTTGCGACATGTCGCAGATGGACTACTTTACACTTTGAAGTGTTAAAGGTAAGTCCGTTATCGTCTGCCCAACTTTGAAGTCGAGTCAGATCCTCCTGAAGTGCCTGTATATCGTCTTGGTTGCATATCTCTCTCCAAAGTTTCACGTCGTCGGCAAAAAGTAATAAGTCTGATGTTACCTGTTGAGGAAGATCATTTATGTAGATCAAGAAGAGAAGAGGCCCTAGTACTGAGCCCTGGGGGACCCCACTAGGACATTCCATAGCTTGAGATAAAGTGAAATTAACCCTAACCTTAAAGTGTCGATTTTTTAGGTATGAAGTAAGCCAGTCGATTAGAGGTGGTTTGATACCTAGTCGTTTGAGCTTGTTGATAAGACACAAGTGGTTAACCTTATCAAAAGCTTTTGAGAAATCAAGGTAAATGACATCAACCTTTCCCTTGCGGTCGAGGATGCTTGTCCATCTGTCCACCGCAGTCAGCAGGTTGGTTATACAAGAGTAACCCTTCCTGAAACCATGCTGTTGGGGTGAGAAGAAATTTAAGGACAGTAGGTAGTCATTTAAACCGTCGCATATCAGGGACTCCATGAGTTTTGAAGGTAATGACAGAAGAGCTACCGGCCGATAACTTGAAGGTTCATTGCGTCGACCACCTTTGAAAATTGGTGTGATGTGAGCCAACTTCCAATTTTCCGGTAATTTGCCTCGGCTAAGCGAGTGTGAAAACATCACGCTAAGCGGCGTTGCCAGGATTGAGGCTGCCTCCCTCAGTATGGCAGGATGAACCATATCCGGGCCAGGAGAAGTGTCAAGTCTTAAGTGCTGCAGTTTCCGGAACACCAAGTCAGCGCTTAGGTCCACTTCAGAAAGTCCTGTGGAATTGCAGATGAAACTGTCGTCAATAAAGTTGATGTCAGCCGGTTGAAATGTTTGAGAGTAATGTGCCGCCAGAAGGTTAGCGGCGTCGCCATCATTGTTGGTCGGGCCGTTAAGACCTAGCAGTTGAGAAACTCCTGTTTTGGCTTGACGAAGAGAGGCTGCGTAACGGAATAGGCTTCTAGGGTTAGAGGCGAACTTGTCCATAAGCTTTGTTTGGTACTGAAGCCTGTCTTCTCTTATAGCCTTCGTGCATATGTTCCTGATATGTTTATATTGTCTATACGCTCCATCGTTATTAGTTCGTTTGTATTCCGCCCAACAGTGTCTTTTGCGGCTTAGCAGGCGAAGGGTACGGTTCTTGATTACTGTAGGTGGCTTGCAGCTTTTGGGAACCGTTTGAGGAACTGAATGGTCTGTAGCACATAAGAGCGTGTGCAGTAAGAAGTCCCAATGACCATCCACATCGAGTTGAGGGTGAACATCCCAGACCACCATTTGAACCATCATGCATGCCACACCTTTCTCTATTTCTTTGATTTTTGATTCTGAGCCCACGCTCCCGACCATCGCCCTGTTGGTATCGTCGACTCCAGTCAGTTTTGGTGAAAGCTGGCCTGGTCACTCATGCTCTTGTCAACTCACTCAGTCGATGTTCTGGCTCCAAATATGTCTGGCATACGCATGGTCTCGAGCTTGGTTGTTATGGTCGCTTCTGGCTTCTTTGCTCAACGTGGTTCCGTCCTACGTCTGCAGAGCTGTCTGTTTCTGACCCCTACGAACGCAATCCTCAGATTCTAGATAAAAACCACTCTGGTGTGGTACGCTAACTTGGGCAACAAATAGAGCATGTTATTTCTAGTATCGTCCCACATAAAAGACCTTAGGTGACAACTCGAGAATCAACGATCGATTCCTATTTTGTCAACCCTTTCATCCTACCATCGCACGTTTGCCGATTAATACCATAAACGAAATCGCTACTTATAGAAAGTGTAAACCCTTTCTAGCGAGGGGCCTCTGTAGTGACCTATTTTTATAAAGAGAACGCGATTGGTGTGATAGAAACAATTACTATTATAACCAATTGTACCAGTGATTGTTTCATTGTACCCGCTTGTTTAAGCGTACCAAAAACGACTCTCTTCCGTTGTTTGTGACCTTGCACGAATTCTCATACGCTCAGCAGTGTCACTTGTAGACTTCGGCACGATCTCGTTATTATATCTATATCACGACATCGCCAACAAAAACACTTTAACTACAACCCCCAACTGTTTTCTGATATTTGGCCTACGGAGGGGTCCAACCTGTAACTGACACGTAGTCTTCCTGTAATGGTGATCATAGTCAACCGGGACTCGACGCCTACTACAGATGCAAACTAGCTTTCTTATCACCCGACTAGACATTACAAGCTACACGAAACCGTATCGTAACAACAAGAGGCGAGCACAAAAAGATCGTTCGGTGTATGCAATCTCTTCAAAAAGATATCAAATATCAAAACCTTGGATTTATTAAATAAACGATACATTCCCATTGGGACTGAACATAAAGGCTGGGTAAACCTTATGTATTACGGGTATTTTGTTAACACTGCTGGGACAAAGTAAATTAGACTGACTGCGATTTCGCATTAATTGGTAGTTCCTTTGTACGTGAGGTGGGACCCTAACGTATGGACGACCTTTGAGAGACGCTAAGGTGCCCTTGAGAGTGAATTTCGCGCGAAAATCCAAGACCTGTTGGCTTGTAGTGACTTACTTTTATCACGAGAACACGATTGGTTTAATGAAAACAGTTATTATTATAACCAATTGTACCAGTGATTGTTTTACTGTGCTCGTTTGTTTAACTGTGCTAGTGACAGACATATTGTGCTTCCATTATTCTTCATTATTATTTCGCGGTTAGTGACTCTGCTCGCACGTATTCCCTTCTGCTGCTTCTGCTTGTGCCATTTCTTGGCACGACCTTGGTATTCTTTCGATACCACGAGATCGCCAATCAAATAAACTTGGTTCTATTCCGCCTTCTAATTTTATTGGCACGTATTTCTCAGTAGCGGTGTTCATAGTCAACTGGGACCCGACATCACGCTACAGGCTTAAATCTGATTAGTATGTCCACAAATTATAGTCTTGCCAGGTCAAACTGTTAGTGATGAGGTCTCAATGAGCTTAATAGACTAGAAAATATCCCAGCATTATTCTCCCACCAACTTCTCAGTTGTCAGTATTCCGTTTAGTGGCTAGCAGTGAACCAATTATTGGAATCACCAGAAGTTACAAAATAGTTTTCGGTAATTTAAATCCGCGGAATAGCATAGTGTGGTCAGAACTTCAGAGCTACTGTAATAGTTTCATGTTATATATTGTAATGAAATTTTAGGTTATATATCTTTACATTGTTTGTGTGCACGATGAATGATTGGTGACATTTTGAATAACCACGTCAACTGTTGGTGAATAGTTAGGTGTAATGGTTAGAAGTATGAAATTAATGTTTACACTAAGAATTCCGGGAATAGTAGAATTGGAGGCAGGTGAAATTAGATGAGTGCAACTGAACATCTTCTAAATGAAATTCTTAATAAGAGTTTAATTAAGTACAAAGGAATCACCAGCTAATAAAAATACTACATTAGATTATTCTTACTCATCTTACCTTGTTTTCTGGACCTGCTCAAGCCCTAAACAAAAGCGACGAAGCTCTGCAGAAAAGTTAGTTAGCACGATCAAGCTACAAGCAACAATCAACTTAAAGTGTAGACTACAAAGAGAGAGACCAGTTAACGTTCTTTGCAAAGATTTTGTGATAAAATCACAAAAAAGACTAATAGAATATGAGAACACTTAATAACCAATACAAAGGACACGTAATCAACTTACAACAATTTAAATACGGAATATTTGATTCATACCAAATCGTTCAAGATCGTTGAAACAAAATGACGGGGACTTTGAAAGGACTTTACGTTTGTACGTGCCAGAAGATTTACACATATTTAGCCTGGCTCGAGGAGCTTACGAAAGGGCAGCATAGACTTCGAAATCATACCAGCCCATCAAGAAAGTTTCAGTCTGTACATTTTAGGAGTGTTATTTCATCTATACGGTTTAAAATAAGATTTTGTAAGTTGGATAAATCTCATAATCAAAGCTTGTTCAAAAAAAGTTTAGTATGAATGTCGAACACCTATGGAAATATTGATTTTGCTGAATTATTTGTTGCTACACAATTACATGTAGCCATTTCAGTGATATCGGTCCTAGTACCCATTGAAATATTAATTTTGCAGAGTCTACACAATCATTTGATTAGTTGAAATCAAGCTGCAGCATATGTTCTGGTGTTATATATATATATATATATATATATATATATATATATATATATATATATTACCAATGGGTAGAGCTCTAATTAGCACCTGGATACATGAAAGATTATATCAAGTCAACTGTGTCTGTATATGAGCATGAAGTTTATTAAAGTTTTACGAATATATGCTGTCATTTATATCGGCTGCTACATACATATATGTCGTCATTTAAGTGATAGAGAAACCCATATGTATTATAGTGAAGCAGATTTCATTTGCACAATAATTTAAATGAAGGTCACCATCTGCTAACTTGCCATTGGAAACTACCATAGAAACAACCTAATTAATCCTGATATAGTTTGCGTATTAAAATACACCAATTACTTAACAGTCTGTTCTCTTTCGAAAGAATTTCAGTTACTTATAATCAAAACGTCACATCGGCCTTATATTGCAAACAAATTTATGGTACAAGCCTGAAATCTTCATTTCTTCAAGCCTTTAAATATATGTCGTTTTTATCTATGATGCGTTGGCAACTAGTTCTCAGGGATCATAACAAAAATACTCGTAGATCAACTGATAACTGAACGCATAATTCTTTATTTACTTGTTGTTCTTCATATATGAACGTATTTATTTTTACTTTGGTATAACACTTTAGTATAACACAATGATTGCTTGAATAAAACATCACACTCAAATAAATTAATATCATACAAAATAAAATATCACATTGGAAAATAAAAACACATATTACTCCGAATAATTATTACATAGAGTTAAAAACGGAAGTAATGTTGAACAATGTAGATTCTGACAGTAAGTACGGGAAATGAGGTCATAAAAACATTACAAAAGTGAGTATATATCGGTCTTAGCCTCCTCAAAGTCCCCTCCCCTATTTGTAACATTAGACTAAACTCATCTTGTTTAATTTTTTACCTTAAAATCAACTCTAAAATTCAAGCTATTTAGTTATTTCATTATTTTATGATTTGTTGTCTACACATCACTTCACTAATTTTCTCACATGACCAATTTACATTACGAGAACAGAAAGAAAGTACAAGGAGCTAAATCTCACGACTAGATCTCATGACCTAAATTCTCACATTTATTGAATAGTATGTTGAGATAACCTGAGTAAAGATGAACCACAAATGTTATACCGACTTAATGTAAAAAGTGTTTAGATACAGTGCGATCGATTCCTTGTTTAGTTTTGTCTAAAATTATCCACCTTAATCACTCAATCCAAGTATTTATTGAACAGACTATTCATATGATAATAGACAAAAATACATGTACTCTTGATAGAGTCAACCAATTTTTACTGTTTTAATGTTTCAATATTTCCCCCAAGTCATAATGTATTACTAGGCCAAGGCCATTAATTAATCAACTATACGAAAAGGTTATACTAAATATCATATAGATGAATTATTTGCTATAGTTAATTAATTAGTGAGTATTTGCCTATCCATTACCATCGCGATTTCGTGTATAAATCATGTTTGGTATTTATTAAACCTATTAGAAGTTAGCTAATGGTGTGATGTGTATTTTGGTGACTAATCACATAACTAATCTATTAATTTTACTCACAGTAACTTAATAACATTGTAGCGCTACACTTGATGTGTCCGTACCATGATGGAATGGTATTTTCGTTGTAGAAAACTACATTTTTCATGTAATCCAGCAAAAATAGCGAACGAAACACGTCCTCCATCATGGATTACGATTGTGTAAATAATAATTTTCGCCTTATTTGGGTTGGTTTCTAGGTGCAAGGGCGCAATCTCGAACGAGAGTGGAGTTTATTCTCATCCGATCGTCCTTAATTACCATAAAATTGTGAAGCTTTTCAAATTTAGTTGTAAAGGCCAAGTTATTTCTGATATGATATAGTTTCTCTATTAGAATTGACCGGTAAATGAAAGTCAAGAGCAAACATATTTTGATAGTTATTCTGAAAAACTATCTACTTCCACCCATTCACGAAACTGGGTTAGTAAATATTTAAAATTTATGATATTAACTTATTTCATCATTGTAGCGGAAAGCCTATAGAAACCTAAGATCAAAGACATGAATGGAATAGCTGTTTTTGGCAAGAAAACAAATTTAGTATTAGGTTTATTCACAAAGACGGAAGGCTTATATATATATATATATATATATATATATATATATATATATATATATATATATATATATATATTTCCCTACCTACTGTTTTATTCCTAATGAATTCTTATGTACATTGTTGACACAAATGCTATTTTAACTAATTATCTTACGCGTAGCTATTATTACATACGCATAGGATATCTTATGATATCCGTTACCACGGTAACTGAATTATTCAATGATGCAAAAAAGTTTAAAATTTAAAAATTGAATGAACGGTATGCAGCATCAGTTTGTTTTATATAGGTTTATAACTTTCATAAAATAGTTTATCCAAACCTGGAAACAGATGCACAAGGGAACAGAATTCGACTATTCATGTGAGGTTTATTTCAAAAGACTTTAAGTTCGATTTCCATATACTTCGAAAAACTGAATAAGTTGTGTTTGTCGTCTAATCAGCTTTCGAGATAAATTTCAAAATTTATTGATTGAATTAGGACTTGTTTATTTGATCTTCCTGGACCACTATTTTAATGTTCACATTAAGAATCGAACTCAGTAACTGTGGTTTCAAGCATCAACTAATTATTCACTAAGTTACTGAGTATAGTTAGCAACTGACGTGTTTATTGGGTATGAAAGTAACTGTAAGAGTTTGAATTTTCCTTCTGTTTTTACTAAGGTCTGTAACTGATCATTCTATCATCCAATCCCAAATAAGAAGAAGCGGATGTTGCAGGTTCCACCGCTAGTTTCGATCCAAATGAACAAAAACTTGTAACCAAAAGGCAATAAAAAGTAATCCGCTCAGGGCGCAATAGAAACCGATCATGTTCTATCCTTAATACAAACAACAGAAAAATACAAACTGTTACTAATAGTTATAAATAAGATTAAGATATTATTCAATACTGGTTTTTTATAATTACTTTCTTGACCTACCAGAAAACAACAAAGATGTATTCAAGATAATCAAGTCTGTAAAATGATCAGTTAAAAGTCTTAAGCAGCAATTCCATTGAAAATGTTTAAACTTTTCAATAAAGAGTTGGGTTGATATTTCATGTTCGACAAACCTTACTATGCTTTTAAACATTCTATTTAATTTAAGTATCACGTAAGTATTTTAATGTTTTATTAAGTGAAATTATTTTGATATGTAACGATAGGGATTTAAAGCATAGTGGTAAAAAAAACATGATTCTAATCCCTGTCTCTAACGTCTAACTCCAGATCCTGACCGTAATACCTTACAATAATCTATAACTCTATCTCGACCGTAGCAAGTGGTTGAACTTTTGCAAGGTCACTCCAATATCGCCTATAGGTCATCTATAAATTATAGTCTCATCAAAAAGTCTTTGCACAAGATAAGTTCCCGAATTTTGTCTGTCGAATGTTCCTTCAAACGAATAAAAAACTGTGAAACTAAGTAAAGGGTCTAAAACAACAAGATCATTGGTGTTAAATCTATTTTTAAGACTTCTCCAAAAAGTTTATGATTATACATTGTATATATTTCTCAAACCAAAGAAAATACTCATGACGTTTATAGCAGCTTTAAATGGTGCTTTAGATTATATGGATGTAAAAACTCAAGACTGTTAACCTACATTATCTATTTTAAGTAATGACCAAACACTATATCAGAATGGTAATAATGGTATTTGACTCACAGTATTATCATTATTATTACTACTACTATCAATACACCTGTTTTCCTACTATCAACTTGTAATTTTACTTATTATATGTGGTGACCTATTCTATTTCATTGTGATTATTGACCCATATTGCCTTGATTGGTTTAACATTTTTGTATAAATATTTATGTATATTAGAGTAAAGCCTGATGACTATCTAATTGAAAACAATTGTTCACTTATATGTGTTGTTCTAATTTTCACAGTATGTGTTTGAAAAAGTGACTGTATTTCATTCTATTCAAAAAAAACAATTTGGCCAATATACATGAAACCCTACTGTGTTATTTCATAACTTAATTTCACTGTATCCAAATATTATAGTATTGAATATCATTTATGTATCTTTGTATCATTAGTTGTTATAATAACGAAAGTTGTAAATAAATGAAATAATTGATTACCAATCACTTCACTGTTTTATATCTCAGATACTAAATCATTTTTCATGTTACATAATCATCAGTCAGATCTTAAGTTACTTATTGATTGAGATCATTAATTTCATAATTCCAACTCACCTATAAACATATTCAATTTAATATGACATGCTAATTATTTTAAAATAAATAATTTACCATATTTTACCAACAATCCTAAATTCATCAGTTATAATTTTGATTTAAAATTGAATATACTTTCGGAACATCAATTCTGATCAAAAACTGAAGACTCTGAAGAGAATATATTGAAAAGACTATTCTTTGTACAGTTAGTTGTGTTTTAAAACAAAGTGAATTCTGACAATAGTGCTAATTTATGTGGTTGGAAGGTACTGGTATGACAAGTTATAGATAAATTTTTTATTAATAGCTTTATTGACTACAAAAAGCCAGCCTATACATTAAAGTGTAATGAAATAGTTGATATTTTATTAACATCGTTGTTTTGAACAAAATTGATTTACTCAATGTACACTCTGTTTAATGGATAGTTTTGTATATTGTCTTGGTGGTGTGTGCTACTGATGTCGACAGATATAACTAGTGTGTATCATCAATCGGAAGTGAAATACCTGGCGATGAAAGGTTAAGAAGATCGAAGAAAAGAGAAGGAGAACAAAGAATGATTGGTGTGGAAACGAAAAAAACAATGGAGTATGGAACGATCAATTGACAGTTTGCAAATGAAGTATTTACTGTATGGTTCTGAGATTTTACTAAAATGTTTTGTAATTTTGTATTCAAATACATTCGATTGTCCCCACTTGTGTTTTCGTTCACTACACCTTTAAATAATGTATTTTTTAGAGGAAACATATTGAAATGTACTGCTAAGGACTGGTATAATCCGCTAGTATGTAGCGATAAAAATAAGCGTTAAAAATAATATAACATAATACAATAAATAAATGATAACTTTAGTCAGTGATTTACATTATCTGTAAATCTACTGAAAAATAAGGAAAAAGCGGAGTTTTAGTGTTTCTTGACTTTTAATATCCGTTCTTAATAATATCTTGTTATTAAATTAGACTACTCTATACAAACTATTCAAATAAGCATACATTAATTAGCTGACACTTATTTTTAAATAGCACCTTGTTGTACACGCGGGCACATCTAGCATGGAGTTGCTGATGGTCAAATTTTCTAAACTTGCATATATATATATATATATATATATATATATATATATATCCTGCACGTTAATCTTCCAAATGATGATAAAGTATTTCAGTGACTGGAAAATAAATCTTTCCTACAGAAAACATGACTATAATCCACTCGTATATTGATTAATCACTGTTGTGTATATACAGTGGTTATTTACTTTGAAACAATGTGTTCATTACATAATTATTATCTGTTATTCATTTTTATTAATTTTTGCTACCTGTTTTTTGCTAAACAAAATCTTCAGAATGCCTTGATGAAACACTTTTGAAAAACATTTAGAAGGTAGTTTTTGTAATGATCTGATATTCTTTGGAAAACCGTTAACTGCCACTGTTATTTAGCTTTTATTATGTGTTTTTTTCCAGCCAGGTTCAAATCATGAAGCAACTTACCCTCTCCCAAATATGTTAATAGACAATAAATGATTTAGAGATTCATAACTGAAAGAAGTAATAACTTTCTAGATTTTTGACAATTACGTGAATTCCATTTGAAATGAAAATGCTTTCGAAAAGTAAACCTATTTGGCTCAATAATAGTAGCTATAAATTCTATTATTCAGCAATTGCAAAGTATAAGTGTAAAATCTTTGCATTTTTTTTCAGAGTTTATTCTCTGGTATACTAATAAATTTAAATAAATAAATTTAGAATGACTGCATTTCATCTACAGGATTGTCATAACCTAACCATGGTGTTTGTTTTACTGTTTTGTAAACAACTTTTGTACAAATATATCGTACCTTTGGTTATTTGTATAAAGACTGAATTTAGTAGTCACTATCATGAACTCATAACAAAAGGAATTAAATGAAGGTATTAATGTGCATAGAATTGTATTTATTAAAACTTGGGGTAACTACTTTTTTGTTGTTTTAATGTGCCTAGATATACTTTTTCGTGTTATAATAGCCAAATTTATTGAAATTATAATAAATTATTCTTCTAATATCATTACAACTCAGTGTAGTAAATCAAACATTGAAAACCATTAGTTTTGGACGGAACTGTTTGACATTGTGAAATAATTTACTATCTAATTGTTAACGAAACCAATTTCAAATAGAGCAAGAACAAACATTGATGCAGAATAGTATGAATTCATATTATTTCGAGGTTTCTCGTCAGTTGCTTACAAACCAAAATTGTGATAGGATTTTTACATGGAGATAGTGTGAAACAATTGACATAAAGTAGTGTAAATAACTTGATTACAATAATAACTATATATATATATATGCTAGAAACAGGTCAGAGTTCAAAAGAGGGGGGTTAATCCAGGGTGGGTGGTGTAATAATTTAGTGAAGTTCATAGATTGTGTGATAATTGTAGAGATTAATGGAATTAAATAATGATATTGGAATTAGGCGAACATCAAATGGCACACTACAAAGACACATTCACCGCAAAAATACTTGGAGCGGATTTTATCTCAACTTTAACAGCTTTTGTCCAATGAGTTATAAAAAGGGTATTGTGCGAAACCTTTTTGACCGCGCACGAAAAATCTGCTCAAAAGAATGCATCGAAGAAGAAATTACTACAATCACCAAATGCCTACGTGAAAATGCATATCCGGATAAATTCATCCACAAATATGCTAATACAAACCCTCCGATTAAGCATGATACAGTTGAAAAGAAAACCTGCTTCCTATCCTTGCGCTTCAAAGGAGATGAAGTCGCCGGAATTATCAATCACAGAATTAATTCCGCTTTAAAAGTGACCTACCTGACAGCCAAACTGACTACGTTATGGAAAACATACTGCTCACTAAAACAAACTAAAATCAACAAGTCCTCTCCCCTCAGTTGCTCCAACTGCATTTACCAATTCACATGTACGTGCCGTAGCACATACATTGGAAGAACTGAGAGAACGGTACAGGTTCGCATTTCTGAGCATATTCCGAAGAACTTGACGCTGTGAGAGACTAAAGCTTCTAACGGTGCAATAGCTCGGCATCTACTTGACACCGGGCATACCGTCGATACTATGCGCGCGTTTAAAATAGTTAATAGACAAAGAACTAACACCACTCTCCGCCTTGCTGAAGCCATTGCAATTAAGAAACTGAAACCGGACTTATGTATCCAAAAAGAGACTTTAATAAACTTATCACTACCCTGGTAATCTTTTTGTTTCTGTTTGTTTTATGTTTTGGTTATTTTATTCATTTACTTATTCTAAGATATTTTATACCCCCCCTATTACCTAATTCTTAAAATAAATTTTATTCACACATTTCCACCACCTGATCCTCTTAAATCATCTTAACTTTCCAAACCCTATTTAATTATTATTACGTAATCTACCTTATCATTATTTAATTCCATTAATCTCTACAATTATCACACAATTTATGAACTCCACTAAATTATTACACCACCCACCCTGGATTAACCCCCCTCTTTTGAACTCTGACCTGTTTCTAGCATATATATATATATAGTTATTATTGTAATCAAGTTATTTACACTACTTTATGTCAATTGTTTCACACTATCTCCATGTAAAAATCCTATCACAATTTTGGTTTGTAAGCAACTGACGAGAAACCTCGAAATAATATGAATTCATACTATTCTGCATCAATGTTTGTTCTTGCTCTATTTAGATTCACAAAGGGAACCAATTGCATGAAACCAATTTCATTTAAACATTCGAAATAAAAGATATTCACGGAATAATTTTGAATCTTGTCTATACTATTTGTTTATGGTGACCATTCAATATTGTTCAGTAGACTAGAAAAAATGTTCTAAGCTGACAACTAAAACTAAGCCAGTTTTTTAACACTTATACCTACAATCTAATATATTATAACTGTTTATCAAACAATACAATACCTTTATTCATTTGGTCAAGTGGCTAATGTTTACATTGAATTACCATGAACAGTTAGCATTAAGTTTCATGTACTGAGTCAGTGATATATTAAACAAATAATATCCACCTATTTGTTTCAGTAGGTCACATTCTGACATTATGAATATATGTATATATAACTAACTAAATCTCTGTACTGAATTTCATTTATATTGTCAATAGTATTGACAAAGATTAAACACATTATATTTTGATCGTGAAAGATTGAAAAAAAAGTGAATTAAAGAAGTTATAATCAAACTCAACTTTTTCGTGAATAGTTGTAATGAATTGCAATAAAATGGTTTTTAATTAAGTACAAGTCATATAAGTGGATGTCAAAGATTAGGACATCAGTTGTTTATTAAGGATCTGTTCTCTTATAATCATTTATCATCTTTCGTGCCAATAAATTTTGTGATCATAATTTATAAATGAATCTTTAAAATAAATAAACTAAATGAAAAATGGTCATAAAACTAGCACAAAAGTTTGATTAACTTGAGTGTTGTGATGTATTGTGTTCGGAGTCTGATATTTGTACACAATGCGTTACGCTCTAACCCTCCACCTGACTATTTGAGCGAGAAAATGTGTTGGCCTACCGAATGAAATGCATAAATACTCATTGACATATATACCACTATATCCTTAAGAAATTGACCTATCGACCCGATTGAAAAGGACATTTAGGTCACTTCCGATTGTTATCGATTGACTTTCTCACTACGCTTCTTCTGATTGGCTTTCCATATCAATGTGACTCAGGTCAATGGTTGAATAAAAGAACAAAATAACAATCTGCAAAATATTAAGAAAATTGACCAATTTAAACAAATAGTTGAGAACTTGATGAATCGTAAATAAAAATATACTCCGTTGTTAATAGTAATATGAAGGACTAATATATTGAGGCCATTGTTACCTATTATTTTATGCAAAATGGATTTTAAGATGACTATGAAATTCAATTAGCAGCTAATTATAAACATTATTGAAACTTTATACAGAATCACCTAGAACAGGTTATAATGTTATTTGATAAACGATAATTGCATGAGTTTGCCATACACTATATATATATCGGCGGATATATTTTCAATATTCATTACTGACCAATCACATCTTACTGTTTCCAATCAATAAAAAGTAAGTAGAATTATGCGTTTCATAAACTTACGTATAAAACAAGGAACAATTTTTTATGTGTAGAGCTATGAAATGTAGAAGTATCAAATTGTTCAGAATGAGATTTTTCATTGTATACTTCAGTTTATGCTTTATGATTACGTCTCTCTTATTGATAAATTTACTAATTTGGCCAACTGTAGATATCACATTAATAAAATCAGCAATTTTGAAAAGAAAAACTAAGGTACAAGAAAGCGAGAATAATCAGACATCTAATGAACCGCAGTTCGACTGTTTATTGGAATTACAAAATGAGTTACGCAATCTTTATTTAACTGACAATGTTCAATCCGAGAAACTAACTCGTATAAAATTAGAGAATTCTCCATACTTCAGTACACAGCAAACATGTCAAGAAATCTGTGACAAACTACCAGTAATACCAGTAAACATGTCTCATGAATACACTCCAATCGGTAATCTTTCTGTTTCTAAAGAATTGGTAACAGACTTGTATAAAGTGATCAGTTTAAGCAAACCACATATAAAAGGTGGCGGTTGGACATATAAAACATCTGATAAATGTAAAAATAATGCTGGAAAATATAATCAAACTGGCGTAGCTATAGTTATAGCATTTCGTGATAGATGGGCTCAACTAACAAGTGTGCTATCAACACTAATACCTATGTTACGCCGTCAAAGATTATGTTACCGAATATTTGTTATTGAAGAAGCTGGAAATGATTTATTTAATCGAGGTATGATTTTCAATGTTGGTTTCATGGAAGCTATGAATAGATTTCATTTTGATTGTGTTATTTTTCATGATGCTGACTTAGCTCCAATAAATGACTTGAATCCTTATGGATGTGATAAACAAACATTCATACAACCAATTCATCTTGGTGTTGGTTTAGATATTAGAAATTTTCGTTTAAATTATCCAGAACTTATTGGTGGTGTATTGAAAATGTCAAATAAACATTTTGTACAAGTAAATGGACATTCTAATCTATACTGGGGTTGGGGACAAGAAGATGATGATTTAGAAAGACGATTAAAATATGAAAAAATTAATTATTATCAAATGTCTCCAAGTATTGCACGTTATAAGGCATTACCTCATGAAACACAAAATAAAGAAGGGAATCCACGAAAAATTCATTTAAAACTTTTATCTACAGCTGTACAACGAATGCATCATGATGGACTATCTTCATTAAATTATAAAGTATTAAAGATTACTGAACATCAACTATTTACACATATATTAGTTGATTTAGGTAATCAACCAAAATTTTATAATTGTAATTAATAGAAAAATGAATCTTATCTATGGATTAATAACAATATGCTTATAACAGATATTATGAAATAACCATTATAATGCGATAATCCAAAGGAAGATGATAAGTCTAAATAAATATTTCATTATAATTGCCAATATTGTTAATGAATATGGACCAATTAATAAGTATAAACAGTCACTTGGTAATTTGCTTATAAAATGTATTCATATTACTTAAAGAAACAGTACAAATTTACTGTATATGTTTATTAAACAAATAGTTTGTAAAGAAAAATATTATAACATTGTGTTTTCAAATGATGAGCCTTAAGATTTCGATTTTGTTTTCTCCTTTTTTTCTTTCTTTTTTGTTCTTTCCTTTCTAACTGTTTGAATGACAAGTTATGTATATAGTAAACATTATATTGAATTTCAACTACCAATTATTCTCAATACAGATTTTAGTCAAATATCAATATTTAGAGCTTTTTATTAGAAATTTTTTTACTAATTACGTATTTTGGAAGTTCTAGATATTCTGTATGAAAAATTTGAATATTATTTACTAACAAACAGTATTTAGTAGTATATATATATATATTACATAATGCAATATAGAAAATAGTGATTAAGATTATCATTTATTATTTGAAAGTAATTACAACAAAATTAACGAATTATTTCACAGAGGGGTTTTGTAGATACTATAATAATTTAATAGTTGAGACTGAAAGGTCATGCGTACGTATACCGCGGAGGCCGGGTCCGTGGATGCGTACTGCTGAAGAGTCCTATACTAGGATGAACTGGCTGTCCAGTGCTTCCAGGTTTTCAGTGGTGGTCTAGCTTATATCGACTAATGAATTCAACTATTAAAATTACTACAATCTCCATAAATCCCCATTCTGATCAAAATTATATTTTATCCACTACTTCCAAATTCTTCAATTCTCATCAAAAGATGATGGCTATTTAGGAGTCACTGAACAGGCGATAATATACAATCAATTTTGTATCATTCAACTAGTTTGTCCAGAAGCTAATGTATATCCATTGATTTTCATTTTTTGACCTATTTTTCTCAATAACGATTCATTTTCTGTTCAGTAGTTGTATTTTGAAAAAATCGATTCTTTCCTGTTTGTTTAAACCAACAAGTAATTAGGATAAGTAGTTTATTAACAATAATATTAGCAACAACAATGGGAATAATTAGAGCACTTTCTATCACTATGGCAAAGTGTAACAACATTACTGAAAAGTGAATAAAATCTACTATCTGATTTTAGGAGCGGAGTTATTGTAAGAACGAGTTTACAACAATCGTTTAAACACTTAATGAACAGCAAGAAGTACTTCATTTTATTGCAATGAACGGTAAACTAATTGAAAATATCTAATATGTGTGTGTGTGTTTATGTGCTAAACAAACGTTACTAAACAGTTATAAAACATTGTATTTTAGGGGAATAACCAATATGGTTTTCAATTTAAATCATTACTAAGCTTTGCACTTATGTACAGTAATAGTTTCATGTACATATGAGAAATATAAAGCAATCAAGACTGTGTTTAAGTTAAAAACAACAGTGAAATAGATTAGATGACTAAACATAGTAAGTAAAAGGTGATGGCAAGATGACAGGTATAGCAGGATTTATAGTAGTAACATTATTCATGATAACATGAACAGATATTTTGAAATAGGAAAACAGATTGGAATTTAGGAAAATAAACTACTTGGTAAAAGTAATCATTCAAAGGGAAGATTGGTTTAGTTTGTTGATGATATTCGTCAATCAACGAAACTCGTTTACAACTTTAGTCACTCTTACTATTTAGCACGATAATCATCTAACGCCAATAGTGACAACTGTTATGCCCCCGATATTTCAGAATTTCTTATCACAAATTCTTACTAAGATTTTAGAAATCCATCTCGAAGTATGTCATCAACTTAGATATTCAAGTAGTAAAGAAGAAATATGAATGGTGGTAAAGAAAAGCAAACAAGTGGAAAAGCTAGTAGGATCGGTCTAATAAGTCTTTTTTGGATTGGAGAGAAAAAAGAGTATAAAGGTCTTCTTTTGAACATAAAATCTCATATTGTTGATCTGTAAGAGACGTGGTTAAATTCAGTTGGATAAAACACCAAGTAATTGATTAATCACTCTAAAAAGTTCAGCTCTTTTTTCCAAATCATAAAGAGAGTTGTTCACTATTATTTTGGATAAGTTGAATAATTATGGCTTCAATAGAACTTTCTGCACAAGAGAAGATGAATTGTTAAACACACATGGAATTGGCGAAACCAGGAAACCAATTTCTTAGCTGAGCAGGAAACGTTGATTGACTAGAAAGGGATTAGAAATAGCCGTATAAAAATTCTTTACAGAACTCAGATTAATTTTCCATTTAGGACATGGCTAGCTATATTTTCCATGTATGGTAGATCCACTAAAAATGGTTTTAAGCGAATAGTCTCTCTCTGAATTCCAGTGCTCTGTATATATGTGGTTCTTTAAAAAATATATATAAAATATAAATATAAAAAATATATAAATATTGATATTAAGATGTACGCGAATTCTTGCCACGAGCATTTCTGTTAGTCGGCTGACAATTATGCATCAAACAAATGCAATTTATTATAGTTTCCTTCCACCGAAGTAAGGTTGATTGTAAGGTCGACATTGTTAATTTATCTTAACAGTTTTCCTTTCAGATCAACCGTGATGAATGTGTCATCAACATAAGGCTGGAACAAGTTTGACTTTAGAAGTCCATTTTCTAACTTTGAAAGACAAAATTCAGTAAAGCTAGGGCTTAATGGTTGTCGGATCGTAGTTTCATCAATTCATCTATAATATTTTTTTACTGAGGAAAACGTCGAACGTCCGTCGTATACCTTAAAAGTAAATATTTAGGACTATCCTTGATAATTTTTACATTGAAATGATGTTTGTAACATAAAACCAGTTGTCTTCATTAATTGTTTATTCATGAACAAAAGGGAAAGATCTAGAAAAATCATGCGTTTCATAATTAAATCTTTATCTTTTACCTAGAAAGTAAAACCAATAATTCTTTGACCCCTCTGTTTACGATTACTTGGTTTCAGGCTTGAGCCCAGACAATTTGTAACTTATGGTTTAGAGAATTATACATTTTTAAAACCGAATCTACAAACTCTGACTTATGAATTTTGAATAGAATATAGAGTCATCGTGTGTTTATGACTACGTTGTGTAATAAGGAGCATGCAGTTATCATCTTAATTCAGTCACAGATTACTACTTTTGACTAGCTTTTTTATATTTAGATCCATTCATTTATCAGGAAATCTTGATTTGCAGAAAACTGTTTGTTTCCACACCTACCTCTACTAATTATTCCTCTGAAGTACTAACTTCTTTGGTTTAAATGAACTACTAATATCACTTCAATTTATCTTACTGAATAGTAAATAATATACATTCAATGAGAATCCATAATGTAATTCATAAAATAAATTATAAAGGATAAAAGATTTCATGTATCAACATATTTTTTCAAGGCAATAAATAATGAAATTTACAATAAGTTTATATTAATACGCCTGACAACTTTTGAATTCCGCGTTAGTTTCACTTAATGGACTGACATCAGACTAAGGTTTCTCATAGTAGTAACTAACTAGAAATAATGACTAGTAAACAATACTTTATTATGTACTTGAATAAATTATAAATCCATGTATTTGATTCATCCTCAATAAACCAGAGTTCTTGTATACCATAAATCTCATGAAAATGTATTTTTTTTAAAGAAAATAACTAGCAAAGTGTTTCATTGATTTTCGACTACATGTACGGGACAAGGTGTAATAAAGTTAGTTACCTAAAGCAATGAACATTATGATAAAGTACAATTTGTCAATTAAAATATACTACTCGGTCTATTACCATCATTAATTTGACAACTGGCTTTTGCTTGCTAGTATTTTCTATTTCAATTATACTGTAAAGACTTGTTATTCATATATTAAATTTTTAAAAGTGATTCTCTTGATTAAGTAAAATCAACACATATTGTGGAGTAAAATGATTTTGTTTTATCTGCTCTCCTCTAATTACTTTATACATACGTATAATTAAATATAATTACTTTATAACCACTTATAAAAGATTTATTTGATGTTGGATCTTAACTAATGGTTTTCTGTAAGACATAGTTATGATCAGAATGGGTCCAGTGCTTCCAGGTTTTCCATGGTGGTCTAGCTTCAATCGACTCATGATTTCAACCTGTGACATAGTTATGACTTTATTCAAGATTCTTCGTTTGAATGTACCATTGTCTCAGTTTTATCCTTCATAAATAGATATTAATTCGAAGGCAAGTAGGTTATTCTCTAGACTATTGATTACAATACCCGGGAAGTTGTTCAGCAGATGTCTTATTTATTAATGGTTTCAAGATTAAATATTGCCCTATTGTTAATATCCTGTACCAACCGAATCAGTTTGCTCACAGACAAAATTGGTATACTGACAAAGTGATGAATCCTAGGTAGGAAATGATGTGCCTCAGAAACTTCTTCGTTGGTCGCTATCAAAACTGAAAATAAGGCTATATCAAGGCACTAGTATAACCAAATTTAATTCCAACAGAAGCCTGTCGAAATCGTTTCTGAATAATAACAGTAGACAAACATTTACTGTTACTAATAATAAAACTCTAGCTTTCAACATCCAAACTCAAACTGTCACTAATAAGATCAAGAATATAATGATTTGTTTAAAACATAAAGAAAATGAAATTCTAATTAAATGGTAAGTAGAGAATTTACTACTAGCAAATTTAGGAACCATTTTTTATTCAGGTGCCCTGATTTTAATTAAAAGACTGAAGATATCAAACAAATAATTGTTTAAGTTAATTTTAAATAAGAAAGATTGTTTCAGCGAACAGTTCTCTTTTGACATACTTGGTGAAAAGATAACGTTCATTAGGTGATAACTCATATAGCACAGGAGATCTTTGCG